TACGTGTACTACGAGCAGTACCTGACGGTGGTGGCGGAGGGGTTGGTGACATTGTCACTGTGCCTGGTGCCCACGTTCGCCGTGTCCTTCCTGCTGCTGGGCATGGACGTGCGCTCCAGCCTGGCCACGCTGCTGACCATCGCCATGGTGCTGCTGGACACCGTGGGGCTCATGGCGCTCTGGGGCGTGCCCTACAACGCCGTGGCGCTCATCAACCTGGTGGCGGTGCGGGCACCACGGGGACACCGGGTGGCACGGGGACACAGGGACACGGGGTGGCACAGGGACATGGGGCACATGGGGTGGCACAGGGATATGGGGCACATGGGGTGGCACAGGGACAGGGGGCACATGGGGTGGCACAGGGACATGGGGCACATGGGGTGGCACAGGGACATGGGGCGCATGGGGTGGCACAGGGACATGGGGGATGTGGGGAATGTGGGTGACACAGGGACACGGGGTGGCATGGGGACATGGGGCATGGGGAGTGTGAGGAGTCACATAGGGACACGGGGCACATGGTGTGGCACAGGGACACGGGGTGTGAGGGGGGTCCACAAGGATTGACATGGGGACTTGGGACAAATGAGATGGCATGGGGACATGGGATGTGAGGGGTGACACAGGGACATGGAGTGACACGAGGTGACACAGGGGGTGACAGGGGGGATGATAGGGGGCCTGCAGAGTGACACAGGGCTGTGGGACACAGGGGTGGCTCTGGGCACAGGGGCCATGGGGCACAGGGGTGGCTCTGGGGACAGCCCGTGCCCGCAGTGCCACCCCGCTGTCCCCGCAGGCCGTGGGCATCTCGGTGGAGTTCGTGTCCCACATCACCTGCGCCTTCGCCCGCAGCCGCCAGCCCACGCGGGTGGCACGGGCCGCCGAGGCCACTGTCACCATGGGCAGCAAGGTGGGCACGGGGACACTGCGGGACGGGGGTGGCACCGCGGGACCCCAAACCCTGCGGGATGGGGGTGGCAGCGCGGGACCCCAAACCACCCTGCTGGGATGGAGTGGTGACCTCCGGGCCACCCTGCCCCACCGGGGCCGGGTCGCGGGTGGTGTCACTGTCTCTGTCCCCGGCGGTGTTGCTGCCGGCGTCACTGTCTCTGGTGGTGTCGCTGACGGTGTCACTGTCCCCGGCGGAGTCACTCTCCCCGGCGGTGTCACTGTCGCTGTTCCTGGCGGTGTTACTGTCGCTGTCCCCGGCGATGTCGCTGTCCCCGGCGATGTCGCTGTCCCCGGCGGTGTCACTGTCCCCGGCGGTGTCACTCTCCCTGGCGGTGTCGCTGACGGTGTCACTGTCCCCGGCGGTGTCACTGTCACTGTCCCCGGCGGTGTCGGTGTCACTGTCCCCGGCGGTGTCGCTGACGCTGTCCCCGGCTGTCCCCGCAGGTGGTGGCGGGCGTGGCCATGACCAACCTGCCGGGTGTGGTGGTGCTGGCGTTCGCCAAGGCGCGCCTGATCCAAATCTTCTTCTTCCGCCTCAACCTCATCGTCACCCTGGTGGGGCTGGCGCACGGGCTGGCCTTCCTGCCCGTCCTGCTCAGCTACGTGGGTATGTCACTGTCACCTCCCGGGGACAGGGACAG